GTAATTGGCTTGATAAGAAAGAAAGATGAAAATTGTCCGGTAGATAGTTATAGAAAAATTATAAAGGTACACACTTTTTGGTGTACACACTTTTTACACATGTCTGTGTAAGAAAATACGTTATGTCTGTACAGACATAAAAAAAACCTTACACAGACATGTGTAAAAAGTGTGTACACCAAAAAGTGTGTACCCCAAGTCCAACTCATAGTTATATCATGAGTGCTTACACACTGTAATTGAGTGCGAGATAATACTAACAAGCTTAATTACTTGATTCTCTCTGTTCTCTATTAATTGTATAGTATTTCTTTTTGAGATGTTTTTAATTATTTTTTTTTCTTTTTTCAGTAATTTGTTTTCAATCAATTACCTTTATATCCTCACTTTTATTTTCCTTACATCTTTTTACCTTTTACATACTACTTTCTCTATATTACCATTATTATTATTTTCTTTCTAAAAACCACAAAAAATCTAAGAGACTATTAATTAAAAACGGAGGTAGTCCGGAGTATTTTTTACCCATACTATTTTTTTGGACATAATTGGCTAATCACTTGTAAATAGCTCGTCTCGAATTGTAAGGCATTTTATGGTTTACAATGTTTGATCGACGCTAAAGAAAAAGGATCTCTGTCCGCACTCAAATTATTTTTAGAAAAATAGAATTAAAAATTCAGAAACTACATTAAAAGCTTTACAAGGTTGCAAAAAACTAGAATCAAATTTGATAAAAAATTGATGTATAAAATAAAAGATTAAAGTGATTTATGTTGACCAAATGAATAGAAAAAGTATCTTACAAAATGAAATTGAGAGACTAATTAGTACAAATGGCAATTTTCGCTTTAATTAATATTGTCAAATAATAATAAGCTTTTGAGAGACCCGGGCATAAAGAATGTGGATAAGAGCCGGCGGAGCATGGCATTGTTGCCCTTTTTCTGCGGTTGTGCCGCATTTTAATAATATTTGCACTTTTGGAGGTGGAACAAAAACAAAACGCGTGGAAAATAGTGAAATGGACTTTTGGTTAAAAAAATTAATAAAGCTGCTAAGGGGGCATTTTGTTCACATATAAGAAATCACTTTAAATAATTTAATTATTATCTCTAGAAAGGTAAATAGAAATTACAAGATAACTAATAATTCTTCCATCCTGCTAAAATTATCTCATTTTTCTTTTCGGAAATTCTCAATAAAATTGTCTCATATCGAATTTGGTCAAATTTGGGTCTCTAAAATTAAATTTAGTTAACATATAGTCTAATACACATAATACAAACCTATATCATATCAAAGCATATTAGATATTTTATACTAGTAGATCAAATCATCATACTAAATACGGAATAAAAAATTATAATTGAATATTTCAATGGGAAAAGAGGCAAATAAGCCCTAGAACTAATCGAAAAAGTACAAATCACCCCTTTTACAGGAGGCTCTGTCCGGCCATCGCCATTTGGGACGATTACCGGTGAATTTTTTTGATGATTTTTTTTTAGCATCTTCTTCTTTAAGTCTAGTTTACCCATACCAAATTTCAGCTAAAAATGCAATCGGGAAGGCAGTCAAATAAATGGTTGAAGATAATTGCGCAGTTAAACAGCGCAGTATATTTCAGAAAATCATTTGACTGCCTTTTATAGGGGTTCCTTGTACACGCAAAAAAACACCTACAATCAACCCCAATTAAAACAGATTCTTTAATTTAATTAGGTTTAGCAATAGCAAGCCTTTGCATTGATTGATCTTATACAAAAGCAACTAAAAAAAGATGACCCCATCCCTGAGGGCCCCCAACCCGATCAGACGGTACGTTGGGAGGATGTAAATTGGACTATAATTCCAATCTGACAGATAGACAGTGAGGCTCTATCACCAGTACTTGCAGAGGCCCTATGCATTTTTAGCATGGTAACCCCTCATCGCAGTTGTCGGGATTCGAATCCGGGATCTAACCCTTGTGGCACTCCCTTGCTACCAGTTGAGCTACATCCACCAGTTACAAAAGCAACTAAAGAATTGACCTAGAGTAACAGATTTGGGGGAGTAGAAATTATTTGAAAAGTGGACAAATTTTATTTGAAAACCCAGTGTCTCGGATCCTGGGAAAGACCTTCCCACTATTCTGACAAAGGGTTCAAATGTTTGTTGGGTGGAGAAGAAAGAAGAAAAGGTCAAGGAATGATGAAAAGTGGAAAAAGGAATTCAACAAAACTGAAATATTGGTATATAGCAGACAAAGTTTAAGGTTCTCATTATAGTGGGGAAGCACTAGCAAACAAATAAACATACATTCTTGGAGTTTTAACCAAGAATTTACTATGTATATATATAGTTCTCCATGCTATTTTACCTATCTGAGCTTGGAAGTGTAGTCTTCGTCAATGTGGAGCTTGGAGGCCGGAGTCTAAGACCCCACAAAGTTTATACACATTTTTATACTTGCTGTCCGTGAGAAAGCTTTTTTCTTTTCCATTGAACCTCGTTCATAAAAACTTGTTTGTCTGTGAACAAGTTTCACAAGACAAAAAAAGTAGAGAGAATTCTTTACATATGAGTAAAAAAGTTCAAACTGTCAAATCACGACTGATCTTCCAGAGAGGAGCGAGGTCATAGGTACCAGTCTCATCCTCACAAAAAATGTTGGCAAAATCTAGGGCAAATATATTTATTCCTATACTAATATATACTCCGTATATTTTTTTGAAACCAAATAACTAATTTATTCATATCAAATGAATGACTAATGAGACTTTGAACAAAAAAGATCCCATGAATTCTTCCAGATCGTTAGTCACGCAATAATGTAGTCCAGTCTAACAGCTTTACTGCACTTGCTACTCCGCATAAAAAATAAAAAATTACAAATAAAAGATTGGCTTCACCAGCCACCGGAAAGGAAGAATTGATTTGATCAGCAATCAACAAAGGAAACGCCACCGAACCAAAATTGTCTGAATCGTCGATTTGACCACCAACCGAAAAGAAGATCCAGTTGAGTGTTTTCTTTTTTCCGGAACGAGGTGGTGGTTCAGGTGGAGGGCGAATAATTGAACCATCAGAACAACAAGGTTGAAAAAGCTTTTCCAACAATGAACAACGAAAACTCAACGGATCAATTACATCGATGAGAAAGTCACGGCCTGTAGGCATCGCTATGAGAAAAACATACCACACGTTCACATGAAGTGGATAAAACTCTCGGCCATAGAAGATGTCAGACCAAAATCCTCGAAAGTAGAAGTTAAAAAAGAACGGAAGCATAGAAAAATCTTTAATTTGATATTTCATTACCGAGAACATCACCATCTTCCAAAACAAAAAAAAATACCAACAAAAAAATTATACCGAAAGTTACATCGAATGATTTCTTTAAGAATTTAAAATGATTAATAACACAACATCATTCAATTTACATCTATGTTTTTTGACATATATAGGGTTTGATATGGCATAAGGAATGACATAAATAAATGGTACTCCCTACTACGGCTTCAATACTACTGTAATGAATACTAATGAAATCCAACGCTCCGTATAGTACTAATTCAAGACGACATGTGTGTTCGTGTGTTGTCGATATTTAGTTACACGTAAATTTTGAACATAATTGTAGTTACCGATAGTTACTAAGTACTACCTCCGTCCCTAAAAATGCTTCCCGGTTTGACTTGGCACGCTCATTAAGAAAGTGCAATAAAATGGAAATGTATGGTTGTGGTTGTGTAAGAAAAAGATGAGATGAATGTGAATCACACAAATTGTCCAAAAATGGTAAATGAGAAAATTTTTTGGAACGACTCAAAATGGAAAGTGGGAAGGATTTTCAGGGACGGAGGGAGTATTATTTTTATTCATCACATTTAAGAAAATACTCCGTAATATTTATGGAACTTTTTATATTTTTAATAATAAAGAATTAAATATAATGTAATGACGTTCAAAGTTGTGCGTCGTCAAGCATGAAAGTGGGGACATTTGTTACGGTGTATTAATTTATAGTTATATATTATTGATTACTAATTCATTTATTTAACTATTTTTCTTTTAGGAATTCAATTTTATTATCTTAAATAAGGATGCTATTAATTGGATTAAGAATAGTAAGATATACATAAACAAGCATTTATTATTGACCAGATCACATATGACCCGATCATAATAAATCAGATCACATTAAAAAAAATCAATTAAAATTTTAGTCCAACTATGATGGTTCTTTAAAACATAAGATCCAAAAGCAATATGAATTGGGGGAAAAAATTGTCAAAGGGACCTCTTATCTAATCCGTATTGATACATTCTGGTTTAATTATATGCATTAATAAATCAAAACCACAACTTTTACTTATAAATACACACCTCTTATCCGTATTGATATCTAATCTGTATTGATAGGTGAATGTAATACTTTACTTGTCTCATTTTATCTGTTTTACTTTCTTTTTGTGTTTTTTAAAATAAGTTTCACATTTTCGTTTCTGGAAGAAAATATGTGGTCTACAACATTCATTTTATTACACTTAAATCGCAACCATAATTTTACTTTTTCAGATACTTTATTAATAATGCTATCAAATAAAATGAGACAAAGATAATACCAACTGGATAATACTTACCTAGTATTTTCAAAATTTTACTAGGGATTATGGTATACTCCCTCCGTTCCTATTAAAATTTCCAAATAAGTTTTGCACATAGTTTAAGATAGTGTGTATTGTGTGGTAGAGAGTTATGCAGAGGAGATAAAAATATGTAAGAAATGTTGTGAACAACAAATTCTTTACTAAAAAGGGAAAGTGGAAGTTTTAATTGGAACGGACGAAAAAGAAAAATTGAAAATTTATTTATGAACAGAGGGACTATAAATTATACAGAGTACTCCGTAAACATTTTACCAAGTCATCCTTGGTGTGGAACATTTATTTTCTCCACTCAAATATATATAGTAATCATCATCCTTAAATCACTCCAAAAAAGTTATCCTACCAATTTGAAATATTAATCCTTTAAATGTTACCCTCTTCTCACTTTCCCTTTGTCAATCTTTCATGTTCTTCACCTCCACACCCATACAATGAAAAATCTTCCTTCCCCTCCTTTCATCTTTCTCATTTCAAATTTTTTTGTTGCATTCCTCTTTCTCACAAGAATTTCATCAGTACTCTCCATTGCTTCTACCTCAAATTCAAGCCCTTCTCTGCAACTCAAATCACTTCTCTCATTAAAATCCTTCCTCAAAGACCCTCTCAACACCTTTCAAGATTGGAATGTCACCACCACCAACAACTCCAAACAAGTTTACTGCTCCTGGTCTGGGGTGAGGTGCAATCACAGCTCCGGCGACGTCACAACTCTTGATCTCTCCCGGAAAAATCTCTCTGGCACCATCTCGGCCGGTATCCGGTTGCTCCCTCAACTCCGGCACCTCAACTTGAGCGGGAATCTTTTTGATTGCCCTTTGCCTCCGGCGATTTTTGAATTCCCATTTCTGAAGACTTTGGACATTAGTAACAATTCTTTCGGTCCGGCGATACTGCCGGCCATTTCTCGCCTGAAAACCCTCACCGTCCTCAACGCATTCAGCAACAACTTTTCCGGCCCTTTGCCGGGAGAAATCGCGCAGCTCCGAAATCTCGAGTATCTCAACCTTGGCGGGAGTTACTTCTCCGGTGAAATTCCGGCCAGCTATGGAAGTATCCCCAACCTCAAGTTTCTGTACTTAGCCGGGAATTTACTCACAGGTCCAATCCCGCCGGAATTGGGTTTTTTGAAAAATCTTGAGAATCTTCAACTTGGGTACAATGAGTACGCCGGAGAAATTCCTACAGAGCTTTTCTCTTTATCGAATTTAACATTTCTTGATCTCTCGCAAGCTAATCTCTACGGCCACCTTTCGCCTGGAATTTCAAACTTAACAAAGCTACAAACTTTATATGTTTTCAAGAACCGCTTAGGAGGGGAAATTCCAGAGGAGCTTTCCCGATTAACTTTGCTAGAAGAGCTGGACCTTTCCGACAACAATTTTTCAGGGAATATTCCGGCGACACTCTCATCACTCGACAAGCTTTCAATCCTATCCCTGATGGGAAACCACTTGACCGGCGAGATCCCGGAAGGTATTGGTCGGATTCCCAATCTTGAAAGGCTGTCTTTATGGAATAACTCGCTGACAGGGATTTTGCCGCAGGAGTTAGGATCAAATTCCAGGTTAGTGAAGGTGGATGTCTCTTCCAATTTCCTTTCCGGCCCGATCCCCCCGAACCTCTGCGCAGGAGGCAAGTTGGAGAAGCTAATCATGTTCTCTAATCTGTTTTCCGGCGAGCTTCCGCCATCTCTGGCAAATTGCAGTTCCTTAACCAGGCTAAGAGTTCAGAATAACAAACTGATCGGATCAATTCCGAGCGGATTTGGGCTCTTGCCAGACTTGACCTTCATGGATGTGAGCGGAAACAACTTCTCAGGGGCACTCCCAGAAGATTTTGGCAATGCCTTGAGCTTAGAATTCCTGAACATATCGGAAAACCAGTTTAATGTCGAGTTGCCGGGAAACATTTGGAGCGCCCATAATTTAAAGATATTTTCGGCCAGTTATAGCTCTATCGGCGGGAAAATCCCGGATTTCAAAGGATGTGGAAGCGTGTACAAGATCGAGCTTGAAGGGAACAATTTGACGGGAGAGATTCCGTCGGATGTTCAGCTTTGCGAAAAGCTCATATCTTTGAACGTTCGTCGGAATTCGCTCACCGGGACCATCCCGTGGGAGATTTCATCTCTTCTGGCGATCACCGTCATCGATCTCTCTCACAATCTTCTCACCGGGAGAATTCCCTCGAATTTCGGCAATATTCGTACCCTCGAGAGCTTCAATGTATCATATAATCGCCTCACCGGTCCGTTACCATCAGGCCAAGTATTCTCGAGCCTTCACTCCTCGTCGTTCGCCGGAAATGACGGTCTCTGCGGCACCGGAATCCACAAGACATGCCAGGTAGAGCCCGCCACCGGCACGGAGATTGTACAGTCCTCGAAAAAATCTGTACGAACGACATTTTGGATCCTCACTGCTGCAATTGGGGTTTCCATGCTAGTACTCATAGCTGTTTGTCGGTGTTTGCAAGCGAACTATAGGTTCAGATTCCCGGGCGACCGAAAACACGAGACATGGGAGCTAGTAGCGTACCGACGGCTGAATTTCACAGCGGAAGACGTGTTAGAGTATGTGGGAATGAGCAATAAGATCCTCGGGGCAGGGTCGAGCGGAACTGTATACAAGGTCGAAATGCCAGGTGACGAAATCATAGCCGTTAAAAAGTTACATAATCTCCGAAAGGACACCACTCGTAGAATACGAGGAGTGCTTTCGGAAGTCGAGGTTTTGGGGCAAATAAGGCACAAAAACATTGTGAGATTGTTAGGATGTTGTAGTAACAAAGAGAGTGCAATGTTGCTGTACGAGTACATGCCAAACGGGAACCTTGAAGATTTTTTGCATTGCAAAAGCAAAAGCGTGAGTGATATGGCGGGAAATTGGAGGACTAGATACAAGATTGCATTAGGGATTGCTCAAGGAATCTCTTATCTTCATCATGATTGTGATCCTGTTATAATTCACAGAGATTTAAAACCTAATAACATTCTTCTGGATTCTGACTATGAGGCTAAGGTAGCCGATTTTGGAGTTGCAAAATTGTATCAAGATAATGAGTCCATGTCAATCATCGCAGGATCTTATGGTTACATTGCACCAGGTATAACAATTCTTCTACTTTTTTCACTTCCTATTAATAACACAATATTGTTATATTCTGGGAAAATGGTCAAATAAGCTCTCGAACTAACTTAAAAACTACATATCCCCCCTTGTCCCTTATATTGGAGGCTTTGTTCGGCCATCGTTATTTGGGGCGGTTCTCGATGTAATTTTTGATGAACATTTTTTAGCATTTTCTTCATGAAGTTTAGTTTACTCATACCAAATTTCAGCTAAAAATTCAATCGGAAAGACAATCAAATGAATTTTTGAAGATAATTGCGCAGTCAGGTGTATTGATTATTACTACACCAAATTTGGTCCCATTTTCTTTTTCTTCTTTTGAATTTTGAGAACAAAATATTTAGTTTAGATTCAAATATTATGGAACTACCCCAAATGGCCAAATGATATCTTTTTCTTCTTGTCGGCGTGATTTATTTGCGGTTCATGGTGTCTACCACTACTATTGCGCATGACAAAATCCCTATTTATTTTTCCTTTTACTTTTTACTTTTTTATGGCCCCATCAACATTTTCAAGCATTTTATTCATTAGCTATGATTACCATTTCGGTTTATCTATTTTCTATATTCCTCCACTTTCATTTAGTTTCGTACTTTGGCACAATCATTAAACATTTTTTAACTTTTCATTTTCAAGAATTTTATTCTGTGGTCGATCTTTTTATCAATCTATAATTTCTATGGTGTCACATTAATATTAGAATTAAAGTGTCACTATTACCATTTCCGTCTATGATATAAAAATAGAATTATTCTGTGGTCACTATTACCATTATTTCTGTCTATTATAAATAGTTTAATCTATTATTATGACAATCAACACTAATCTTAAATTATCATGGATAAAGATTATTTATTAATTTAGTACATCTTAAAATTATAATATGACATTTTAATACATTTACAAATTGCGCACCCACTATTTTTATTGGAACATCTACACAATATTATTTGATTAAGATATCCCCTTAACACATGTAGATGGGTATGTATTATCGTTAATTCTCCCACCCATTCTGAGTGGTCTCTGAGCTGGCCTGGTTTGGTCTGATCTAGTCTGAACTGCTGTGGTCAAATCTTGTAAATGTCTGATCACTATGTATTTTAAGATTTCAAAATCTAATCTGGTTGGTCTGGTCTGTGACCGAAATAAGTCCAACTAAAAACATTCCAAGAGTTTTTTTACACCGGTTGCACGTATAGGGATTAATCAAAACAATAAGGTGTTTGAAATTGATTTTGTTTCTGCTTCTTTTTTAAAAGCAAAAATGAATATAGAATTAGTTTTTAGAGAAGTTAGTCTACTACCGTTTCTACAGTTTCACATTATTGTTGTCTATCGAAATTGTCATAGTTTAATTCCATCTAATTTACCATTTTGACACTTTCTATTAGACATGACAATGGGTCAGGTCGGGTCACGTCGGGTCGGGTACTGCAAGACCCGACCCGCTGTGACTTCATTGGTGCAAGAGTAAATTCATTTATGTTGAACTCTCGACAATCTAATAAAGTCAATACAACAAAGTCAACTGTGGCGTGTAGATTCAAACAGAGGTATTTACTATTTTTACGAGAGAGAGCCCGGCCAGTGAATCATTGCTGCTCTTTTTCGAAATGAAAAAAGATAAAGAATGTTGAAAGAAGTAGCACCTAACTTCTCTTTTTGGTTCACTTTGTAGGGTTTGTAATTATTAAGTCTTGTGTTTAAAGAAAAAGAAAAGGGAGAATCTGACTTTACAATCAATCAATAATCAATGTTTTGGGTGATATTTAACTTTGCACTTTATTTTCAAAATCATTAATATATACATCCCAATTCACTATAAAATCATTTGACTTTGCATCTCACTTCTTCATAATTTTTGACTCATGAGGTACATACATTAATGATTTTAAAAATAGGGTGCAAAGTCGAATATCACTCAAAACATGGAGTGCAAACTCAAATTCAACGTACAATAATGGATAACTTATAGACAAGCCTGTCGTTAACTCGTTATGCATCGTTTGGTGATTTGAATATGGAGTAACTTTACCGTTAAAATAATTACATGTAAAATTAGGGAGTAAATCACTTTATATGTAAACACAAATACAATAATGGGTTAGGTGTTTAAATGTGTATTTTATTTTTAAATTACTCTTAAATTAGTTGCATTGATTTATCACTCTCTATAAATAAAATGTTTTACATTGTATAAAGCGAAGTGCTTAAAAAAGTGGTGACAATTTTTAATAAATAATCAAAACGATATAGGCCTTATACATGTTTTATACTTCGCTACATTTAGCAAGGAAATATTTATAGTCACCTACCAAATGCTCTTTAATCCTTTATTAAAAGACAACTAATAATAGCTTTATAGGTAGCTAGAAATGAAAGGATGAAAAGGTGGGTTGATCGAGAGGTAACAAATAAACTTACCTTATTTTACAGTTCAGCTTTTCACCTGTATTAAGAAAAGAATGATACCCGATTGTGTTTGAATAGGGCTAAACACGGATTTAGGATTGTAGCATCGTAGACATTGTAGCATTAAAAATGTTCTTCATGTCCGATAGGGCTAAACACGGATTTGGGATTTTTTCATCTTGTATCGAGGAATTGTTTTGATCTGTACTAGATTCGGAAGAATCGAGAGAATATAATATCAGATTGGATCGATTTTTTGTATAAGGATAAGATATTGATGTATGCAACATACTAGTATATAGTAGTATTGAATTAGGGTGTCATTGTTTTTGATTGGATTGCTTTGAGCTCTAGACCAAATCAATTGAGTTAAGCATGCTAGATCGAACCATATCAAAATAAAATAGATTAGATTAGATCACATCAGACCGAAACATATAAGGTCAAACTTAAATATGACTAGAAAATTTTAATCTAATTAGCAATATAAAAAGTACGAGATTATTTTGAATGTGAAACAACACCTGATATTCCTTTATTGATACTTCCATATGGGGTGTGTGTGTGATTGATTTAGTTATTTTATGAGCTAGGACACAAGTGAAGTGAAATGAAGTAATGTTACATGAATTGAAAGTTTGCTCTTCTTTCATTTTATTTTTTGAACTCTTTCCTCCTTATTTCCAAATAACAAAATCATTGATTATTTGTGGATGGATTTGTTTGGTTCATCTATCATATATTGATAAAAAAAATGTATACTTTTTCTTGCTCACAGAGTATGCATATTCATTACAAGTTGACGTGAAAAGTGACATCTATAGTTACGGGGTTATGTTATTGGAAATAGTAACGGGTAGAAGATCAATGGAAGCTGAATTTGGTGAAGGCAGTAGCATTGTGGATTGGGTGAGAAATAAGTTAAAGGCTAAAGAGGACATAAAAGACTTCTTAGATAAAGACAACAATATTTCTACCTCTTACCCATTAGTATGGGAGGAGATGATGCTATTGTTCAAGATTGCATTGGTGTGCACTTGCCGGAATCCGGCTGACCGGCCGTCCATGAGAGACGTGGTTTCAATGTTGAGCGACGTCACTCCCAAAACGAAATCCCAACCCGGTGGCGATAGTGGTTGCGACGCCTTGGCCGACGGTGGCGGTGGTTCTTGGATCAAAACATAATCGTTGAGGGTTAATAAATCAAGAAAAATTCTTTTTGTACACGCCACTTTTTACACGCCAGGTTGCACATCGGTCAAATTATCTGTGTACAAACAATACGATCGATTACACAGACAATTTGACCGACGTTTTATGAAGAAAACCGATTTCCACATAGATAGAAATAAAAAAATTGTCTGTATCATAGACATTTTAAAATTCTCGTTTAAAATTCTCATTTAAAGTTGTCTGTATCACAAAAATTTTATGAAAAATCATCGTCTAAAATGTATGTGACACAGACAACTCTTTATTTTGTTTGTGCGAAAATCGATTTTCTTCATAAAATATCGGTCAAATTGTCTGTGTAGCCGGTCAAATTATCCGTGCACAGATAATTTGACCGGCGTGTAACCCAGCGTGTACACGAAGAGGAACTCATAAATTAATACTCCGTACTCCATAATATTGTCGGGGTACGGTATATTGGCATTGTTCCACCTCTTTCGATTCCTTCGATTTAGTTAGTTAAGCTCATGAGTAATTTTTCTTATTTCAATTATTATTATTCTTGTACTTAATTATTAGGACATCTTTTTACTTTTTAGTACTCTCAAATTTTCAACTTTTTGTTGTAGTATTTCGTAGTTATAATTTGTCAGTTGTTATATCGTGGGAGTCGTGCATGGTGATTGGTGAGCATCCTGCTCCCACACTTATACGAAATGTAAATCGTGTGAACCAACATGTAACTTCAGGTTAATCAAATGTAAATCACACTCATTTAAACGTAACTCGTTGAAATGTAACTCGGAACCAGGTCAGATGTAACTTGGGAAATGTAACTTTAGCCTATTTAAATGTAAAACGTCTTTACAGAGATGTAACTCACAAATTAAAATTCAAGTTTTCTAATATGACATATATATATATAGGGAGCGTATCAGGTGAGAAGCGTTCTTAGGCTGAGAACTGCGAAGTCAAACTTATAGACTAAAACCACGAACTTTTAACCAATAAATCATAACTTATGGACCCCCTCGAAAATAATTACGAAAATGCCACCGCAAAAATTAACTCCAGAGAACTTCAATTTTTTTTTGACGCGGTGGCATTTTCGTAATTATGATGGAGAGCTTTATAAGTTATGATTTATTGGTTATAAGTTTCCATATTTAGTCTATAAGTTTACTGCGTTGTAAGATTAGATGCAAATTCAAGGGCTGATATTGCTTCTCACTTCTCATTTTAATGGGCATTTATCACATGATATTATATATATATATATATATATATATATATATATATATATATATATATATATATATATATATATATAGGGATTGATTCCACTACAAAGAGGGTGTCAGGTGCAAAGTAAGAACTCATCTGTACCGTGCAAAACATAGAAATAACGGCTGAGATTATGCGGTCCACATTAATTAAATTGCAGACGCAAACACCAGATTCTCTCATATGGGACAGGATACACGCACGGGATTATATCCATGGGCTCTTTGGTAAATTCAAATTGGCGACCTACAGTTGATTTTGCTGCACGATGTCCATCATCCCGAGAACTCTGTATCTTCCATTTATGAAATAAATTTCGCTTTTTAAATGCTTTGAATTAGTTGATCGTTGTGCGAGACGAAGAGAAGACGAACGAAGAGCATTGAAAAACACTTCCGACAAGTTTTTTACAATTGAAAGGTGCAAGTGATGGCAGAGGAGGCCATTGTAGAAGACGTTATCGCAGCACAAGGTAATGGAAAAAGTGATATATATTTCTGGAAAAATATAAATGTGTTTATGATTACAGTAATGCTATAAAACTCCAACAATCGCACATCACTTTCAGTTTCAAGCATTTAGTGTATATAAAGAATCACACATCAACTGATTTAGTGCATATAAATGGTTTATGATTAGAGTAATGCTATAAAACTCCAAATGTGTTTTTTGAATGTGATAAATCTGAAAGTGATGTGCGATTGTTGGTTAAATATTTCAATAACAAATATATGCAGTTCTAATATTGACTTATGTGCTATTGTATTGTTTTCTCCACCTCTATGCAATGAATGAAAAAAGCATGTACAGAATGAACAAAAGTGATGCCAATGAATGAAAAGTAGCACGTGAGCAGGTAATGGTTATTACAGTTTCAATATGTGGAACAAGTGTTATGAAAGGCATGCTATTAATTGAATAATGATTTTTTGGTGTGGTAGGAAAAGTGAGATATAGAATAAGTAAACTGATAAAGATAGAATGAAAATGTAATGGAGTTGCATTAAGCGTGATGGTGTGTATTCTGAAATGTAATGGCTATTCGCATAAAAAGCAAGTGTGCACAGAGATATAAACATATGGTGTAATACGAATAAAAAATGATGTGTGGGAATGAAAAGTAGCACGTATTCAGGTAATGGTTATTATAGTTTGAATATTTGGAACACGTGTTATGAAACACATGTTAGTAATTTGAAATGAAAATGAAGAAATAACTTTGCATAATGTGTACTTAGTTTTGTGTGATTGAAATACTTAAAGAATGGATATTTGTATGGAATGATTCGGGAAAAGCTGCTATAGAAAGTGATAATAGGAAGAGGAAAGATGTAGGAAATATGACTCCGAATGTGAACAGAAAGAAACTCCAAATTCCAGCATGCACACGCAGCGGAAGGAATACAGAAACGGAAAGTTCTAGTAAGGTGGCAAAGCAATGCAATTACTCTCAAGTACACCTACAACATGAGGACAGTGATGAGGATTTTGTGATAGCAAGAAAACACCTAATGAAAGATTGGTTGTTTAGAAATATCAGTAAGATGTGTGTGAAATCAAAATGAATGTCTACTATGAAATTGTTGAATTAATGTTTAAATGTGCACCAATGGTATTTTGTTCACAAACTGAGATCCCTAGGCTTGGAAAAAAAGGTTGAACTGATTGCAAAGCTAAAGCCAAGAAGATTGAACATGACATGGCAAGAGAAGAAAAGTGTGCATGACTCTGAAGTTTTTGCTTTGAGGCATATGGAGACTTATAATGGTAAAGGAATACAAGGATGGGAGAGTGATCTGAAAAAAATGACAAGAAGCAGATGGGTGCACTGAGAGTGAAATATGCAACTGCAATTGTGCTAGCATAAATCAATGAGCGGAAATTGGAAAATCTTAGACAAGAACGAGAGTATGCGAAGGGAAACTGAAATGGGAGAATAATTAAACAATCTAACTTGTTTGTTGTTCATTTGAAGTATGCGAACTTGGTTTTTTAGTTATTCATGTTACGTAATGGGTTTTGATAACTTCTGTTTCTGTGATAACTTACACTGGGGATTTATGTAATTTATGTTATTTTGTTTTAAAATATTGATTGTGAAATGCTGGTTTTTACTAATATATTTTTATTCAATAAGCAACCATAGATTTTGAGGATGGTTAGTAACTTCATTATGTAGTGTACGATTTGGGTGAAATGAAAAAATACTCTTGTCATGCAAATTGATGAGAAATCATGAACTTGTAAATAGATTAGTAATATGAAATATATTCACGAGATGCAAAGTGCATAGTTGATGAATAAAAGTTCAACCGAGCGTGGAAAAAATGGTCTGCACTTTGTACATGTGCATATTTTTTTAGATTTTGTGATGCACTTTTGTGCAATACAAGTTCACTTTCAGCGTTTGAAATGTTGACGTGCCCTTGTCGTGAGGTGCACTCAAAATAATTACAATACAACGATTATACGTAGTATAACGAAGTAAGATTCGTATCCACAGGGAAAGGAATACTTTTCTTTTATATAAGTAGTAACAAGGGGGGTTTAGATTTGTTTGATTTAAAAATACTAAGATGAACAACCTATATGAGTTTAATTAATGGATATGGAGGCTTGGTTTTGCTTTTATCCACTTAATGAAATGTTCATCGATCCCGGTTATATCTTTAACTATCTTCCTCTCGAATACTAATCGAGGAGTATATCCAGTTCATCGAGGGTAGTTATTAATAACGAGATGCGTTCATTAATAAAACTTACTATCGAGTCAATATAGAACAAGCACCGTATATTAACTTGATAGTAGCGATAAACTTAAGATGAAAACGATTGAGATTGATAACCTCAACACAAGCGGTTTATTGGTTTAATCAATATAATTAATTCCCCTTGGCATATTAACCATGAGATGCATGCATTAATAATCCAACTTTACTACTGTTGAAAGAACCGGATTAATATCAAGCGTATTAACCGATTGATTCTAGTAATAATTAATATGAGAAACAAAACTAGTTGATACTTTAAGTGATGTTCAAAATATTAACATGAAATATGAATAGGAATTAATTAATACTCAAGGAAGAATATTAAAGAATATGAATCCTACAATGATTAATATCAAGATGTTAACTAATTGTCATTTTAGTAACACTCCCCAATATTAACATGGAGGAAGAAATAACTATTACTATAACCAATGTCGAGATGTTAACTAATTGTCATCTTAGTAACACTCCCCAACTTTGATATAGAAATAGTATTTTAAAAGAAGAATTAATATTCAAGGAAGAAGATTAAAGAAAATAACTCACAACTTACAAATTCATTAAGCTTCAAAATAGCAAAACCAAGATGGAAGAGTTTAGCTCCTCATTTCGAGACCAAACATGATGAAAAATATAAAGAAAGAACTATTCTAGACTGAGCTTAGATGTATAAAGGAATTGGATATCTAATTGTGAAGGAAAGGAGGTGTATTTATAGGCTTTGAGGATGCAGCTCGGGTACCCGATCGGGTATATACAAGGTACCCGATCGGGTATGTGCAATACCTTCATATATACTCGATCGATCATTGCCTAAAAGTTATAAGCATACCCGATCGAGTATACCTTTATACCCGGTCGAGTATGCTTATAACTTCAGATCCGGGGCATACTCGACCGAGTTCGGGTTTGTATTTGAAGGGATACCGGATCGGGTGTGTCGGTGTACCCGATCAGGTATGGACATTTGATCGTGGTCCGAATCTTCTCCGCATGATCCTTTGTCTTCGGATCTGATCCGATTCGAAATTTCAACAAGATACCCGATCGAGTTTAGGTCATACTCAACCGGGTATAGACCAAAAATTCAGGATCTTCTTTCTTTTTGATTTTTTTGCACCTTCCTTCCACTTTTTGGGGTTCACCAACTGTCCTTTGAATTGATCAAGACCTGTTTGAGCTCAGAATAAACCTAATCTAAACAATTTACAAGAATTTAACAAACTAAACTATTACATCAAAAGTGTGTAATTTCCAAAGTAAAAATCAATCAAAACTAACTAAAAACACAAACATACAAATGGAAATTACAAGCGTATCAACTCCCCCACACTTAGTTTCTTTACTCGTCCTCGATTAAAGTCAAATGTTCACAAGTGTTTAAGTTTTCCAAGGTTTCAACAATTTTACAAGATAAAAGCACAAAGACCACCAATGATAAAATATGAGTTTTAAGTACAAATATTTTATTGGGTTTTATGGACTTCTAGTGCTCATCTTCTCTTCTCCTCCTCTCTTCTTCTTCCTCTTCTTGTTCTTCCTCTTCTTTTCCTCCAAAGAGATGAAATGAGTGCCTGCAAGAACAAATATTTCTCTCATATCTCTCATTTTGCCTAGGAGTCTTTTAAGGTTTTCATCCTAGCATCTCTTTTCATTTTCCATTCTCCCCAACTCACTCATTTTTTTATAAGCCTTTTTTGCTTAGATTGCCCATTTTGTTGGGTTTTCAATCTAACTAGCATTTCTTTTTCTTTTTTTTTGAATACCAATGGTAAAAGAAATTCATGCGTAGTGAAAGGGAATAAATGAAAATACATACCATAAGAGTCTCTCCCCCACACTTAGGCCAAGCACTATCCCTAGTGCCCGCCTTCTCCGCCGTAGTAGCTGCCTCCGAAGCCGCTCCCTTGCCCGCCATCTCCCATGTATGTGTCCCCGCCATCTCCGCCGTCGTACCCTCCACCCCCGGAGCTAGATCCTCCAAAGTTACCCCAATGAGTGGGGTCATACCACGAGGGTGGTGGAGGGGGGTTCGCCATGGTCTGAAAAGATCCCTGCTCGGCCAAGTAAGAGTACATAGGTCCGTAGAACCTACATTGATCTTCTTCATGCCGATGCCTGTCGGCTTCTCGGAGCTCCTCCAACCGTTGAAAACCGGCCCTTTTCTCCTCCTGTATTTGGTTGAGCCGGTCTCCCATAGCCATGTAGTTTGTGTTCATTTGATTGTACCCCGTAAGCAATTGTTGTTGACCCTCCAAAAGTTGTTGAAAGAAGTTAGGTGGTGGAGGGTTTTGAGTTTGTTCGGGGATGTCGGCGTCCATGTCTTCATGGCCATGGGGTTCAGTATAAGGCTCGTATTCGGGTTGGTATTGGGGAGGCTCTTGTTCCGGTTCTTGGAGATGTGGTGGAAGGGCGTGTGGGAATAGGTAATGGGGTTCCTCTACCGCTTCTCTGTAGCGCAGTTTGGGAAGTTCTTGGTTGGGTAGGAGGAAGTATTTGAGAGGCTTGGGGTGTATGAGCCAGTTATACATATTTTTTGGTCGTTCACCACCATAAACTATATGGGAAAAGGCTGTACAACCCGAATGGCCTAACCAAGAAATGTTCATCAAACAATAGTCGGGTATAGAAGAGTTGTCTGTATACCCGAACTTGGTGGCTAAGTGCATAATTACCCCACCCACAACAATAGCGCCCTTGGTTGCGCTTTCCTTTTTCAGATGTGCCCACATATGTCACGTCCCGGACCGCATCCGATCCACGTAGACAACCGCCATACAACCCGATAAAAACAACAACAGTTCATCCCTATTCCTATTGAGTTGTACAAGGCGTTCGATTGATTCTATTGCCAAACCGATTAGTAAACACATACAATCAACATCAATATCATAATCAAACAAATGCGGAAATAATAATATGTTTGATACTTAGCCACACGTGGCAAACACGGGCACGCAGGCCCCCAACTATTTTAATGAAAATATTGTTCAAAAATCCATGAGCGGTTTATACATTTGAAATAAGAATGGAAGCACGAACCAGGTCTTCCTTCTCAATCAATCACCCTAGGCAAAGGTGCAGGTAGTAGGACTCTAGCCTCAACCTGAAAAATGTGAGGCCCCCCGGAGGGGTCAGTACTCCATAGAAGTACTAGTGACAAGCAGGCTATATGAAGAATAACTAATGTTTCAGACACGAGACCCAAAAATAGGGTGTTACATATATATATATGTGACCCATTCATCCGATGATACATACTGTATATATATATGTAAAATACTCGACCCGTAGGTCATTTCATTCAAAGAGTCTTTTAGAGATAAAGTTCTTACCTGACCTTTCTCACCCTTTTCCCGAATGCCTAGCTCACCAGCTACATTCTACATTCATAATATCCTACCGAGTTTTGGGAGCATTTAGCATCCCGGGGATACTCAACCCCAACCGAGTTTCAGGATCATTAAATGTTCCGGGGATGCTCAACCCCAACCGAGTTTCAGGATCATTTGCAGTCCTGGGGATGCTCAACCCCAACCGAGTTTCAGGATCATGTATGGTCCCGGGGATGCTCAACCCCAACCGAGTTTCAGAATCATTTAATGTCCCGGGGATGCTCAACCCCAACCGAGTTTCAGGATCATTTATAGTCCCGGGGATGCTCAACCCCAACCGAGTTTCAGGATCATCTAATGTCCCGGGGATACTCAACCCCAAACTAAATCCTTACCAAACCCTAACCTGGATATGGCTAACCTTTCGTTCCTTCAACTATGGACAATACCTAGCCCTATAGTCATATAACCATCCTTAGGAACCAACGTGGGCGGGTCCCACCTGAACGGCCCACATAAACCCGCTCAAAACTGCCCGTTTTGAGCATAAACCAATACTCGATCGAGTATCTACCCATACTCGGTCGAGTACAGGAGGCGGTAGCCCCCAAAGCTAATTTTCAATGTATACTCGATCGAGTATCTACCTATACTCGATCGGGTATAGGAGACAGTAGCCCCCTGGGCAATTCTTCAGCAAATACCCGGTCGGGTATGTGTCAATACCCGGTCGGGTATGGCAGTTGACTTGGCGGTCAACGCCCCTTTTGACCACCCAAACGGAGTCCGATTAACTTGAAATTTTATACACATATACCTCTTGATGTCCTTGATCCAAAAATACCATTTTGGACCCCTGGATCATCCCACAAATTATTTTATCACATTTTTAATCACCAAACCTACATAACATGCTTTTCAACTATGTTTTATGCAAAATCATGGCATAAGCAAATACTTGATTATCTTTAATCATTAAACAAAACATATCCTTGATTACTTTAGGTAATCTCATGCCTAAAGCAAAAGTTATAAAGCATAAAGCCGTCTTCTCACCTTAATGAAGCTTATGAAGTTCTAGCCTTCCCGATTTAGCTCCGGTGAAACTCCGGCGAACTTCAACGAACTCCGGCGACAACTCCGGTGCCCCTTTCAACTCCGTGAAAGTTCCTTGAATATCTTAGACAAGTTACTAACAAGGTTTTATCATCATAAAACCCATAGTAATACAAATAACCTCCAAAAGGTTATTTTCCGGCGAACCGGTTACTTTGGCTTCTAAGTCCGTTCTTGGACTTAGAACCACCTTCCAACCCCTCTTTCTACACATCCCAACGTGTAGAACAATACTAGGGTGTGAAATATGATTGAATAATCATATAAGATGATTAAAGAAAACGAAATGGGGTTAATGGAGTCCTTACCTTGCTAAACACAAGTTTTTCCTCTCCAAAACCAACTTTTCTCTTCTCTTTTCCCCTCCTTCTTCCTCCCTTGTTCTTGGTGCGTGTATGGATGATAACAATGGAGTTTTCAGACCTTATCTCACTTATTTGAGTAGGTTAACCGAGCTGTAGGAGTTGGTGTGATTGAGGATGCCTTTTTGGCATTTCTCATAAAAATATCTTGGCCAAGGACCCACTCTTATGTTGATTGGTCTCCCAATCAATTCTTGATTGCTCCCCCCTGATCTTGTGCGGCTCCTCTGGCCATTCCCAGAACTAAAAACGTGGGTTGGCCCCCACATATGTGGGAGGTCAACCCTTTGTGTCCCGGAGTGTACAATCGGTCCCGAAAGTTGTATTTTCCGGACTGTTTTAAGTATATTTTATTTTATCGGGTCAAATAAAATATAACACTTGTTCTCAATCCTTGTTGGACCTTAGTAACAATATGCATTCCCCCACTTTAATTTAGAAGTCTCCGGAATCCCTTTTTGGGCTGTTATCTGATAATTTCCGATACCGATAATTTGGCCCCGTTTGACCAACCGGTCAACTATATGCCATCGCCATGGCCCAATTAGGATATATACCACCATATTCATATTATCTAGCCCAAGATTAATATAACATGTGGTCCCGATAATATCGGGCGGCTCCACCTCCGGTGTGGGCCCCACGTGAATTCTACTATTCACATAATAGAAATGATAAAAATTTACAATCACGTAAAAATGCTTTTATACATTTCTCAAGGTTCAATACATAATTTGGTACAGTACAAATACTCGGGGGCGGTGTTACAACATAAGATTGCACAAATTGAAGTCCACATGAACACGGAATAGGGCGACAGACATCAGGCATACATCCCCCATCCTAGTGTGATGGTTGTTGGGACGTCCAAGCAAGCAGTTGGCAAGGAATTTCAAGAATAAGCGGAGGACGGGATGTTGGACATGACTAATATACAGTTGGGAGGAGCTAAATTTAGCTTCCCCGGTCATCTTTGTCCACAGGGTATGGCCGAAAGCAGTGTTATCGGATATGGATTTTTGGTAGGGGACCGGAATACCAAAATGTTCGGCGAACTCAAGTTTCGTTATTGAGTGGTTCTGGTTAAACAGACGAAACTTGAGCCTTTCATCCCTAAAATCAGCTTCATTGGTCTCAAATTGCACCGAACTCATGAATTCATAGGTTATTTTTTCATTAGAGTGATATTGCATTTTGAATATACGGTCCATGCTCAACTCATGAAAAAATTTCATAGTGCTCTTATACACTCCTAATTCATTGAGAGCATCATGGCATAAAAAACGGGAAGGTTTTACTTGCCTTGCAATTGTGGTGATGAACCGAGTTCGGTGTTCGTTGTCGGCGAAGATGAGGTCCTCGTAGCCTAGGAGGCTAGGATGGGTGCCATAGCGTTGGAGCTCTGCCCTTTATCCTTCCTTGGTGCCATTTTTGGAGATTTAGAAGCTTGAAATCCGAAAAATTGAAATTTGGGGTAGGGTTTTTCGGACCTTTTGAAACTGGGAGAAAGTTGGATTGGTGGGTATGGGTGTGTAGAGGAAGATGAGGGGAGTATTTTGGTGGTGGAATGGGATGATTTGGTGGAGGAATGAAGAAGATATGGTAGAGAGAAGTGTTAAAAATGGAGGTTGGGGGAGAGGGGTTCGAAATTTGGGTTTGGGATTTGGGGAAGATGAAGTGTTTGGGACGGTTTTGGGGTTAAAACGCCCGTATACCCGATCGAGTATGGGTTGTTACCCGGTCGAGTATGGCTGGAAATCAGTATTTTTGAGAAGACTGCCTCCGGTACCCGATCGGGTATAACACAATACTCGGTCGGGTATGTGCCTTTTTCCACGTTTTGAGGCCTGTACTCGATCGAGTGCAGGAGTCAGCTTTCTTTAACCTTAGCCTTTCTGTACATACTCGACCGGGTATTTAGTGATACCCGATCGGGTATCCTTTGTTTTTCACTTCTTGAAACCTGTACTCGATCGAATGCTGGGGGCAGATTCTTTTTAACTTCGCTTTTCTGTACATACTCGACCGGGTATGTAGTGATACCCGACCGGGTATGCATGCTTCCTTTCAAAAATCAACACTCCTCGATCGAGTAATGCCCGGTTCTCCTTCTTTTGGCCATACCCGACCGAGTATAAGGTGGTACTCGATCGGGTATGTCCCCAGATGCTTCAAAACCTGCATTTTTTCTTCTTTTTCTTCAAAAACCGTGATTAGTTCCCTCTCTCACCGATCTCTCAAATAATTAAACAAAAAAAATGAACTTTAAACACTCGAATTAACGAAAAAATAAAACTTGGGTTGCCTCCCAAGAAGCGCCTTAGTTAACGTCGTGGCAAGACGTTATTAATTTTTTTTAAGTGGGATCGTGAACATCCCTTGTTTTATTTTTTTGCGACCCTATTTAGCCATTTTTCAATTTTATTTTTCGGCCTTTTCCAGTAAGGCCGGGATTTCTTTCTCATTACCACCTCAATCATAGGTGGATTTAGTTCACATTTCAACACATTCCTTTCTATCAAAGATGACTTCTCATGTTTAGCAGCTTCTTTAAAAAATATCGGTTCTTGTGGTTCAAAAACATTCAAAGAACAAAGAGTTAGATTTTGCATTCGTTTTTTCGTAGAGTCCAAGATGTTGAATTCTACTTTTTGGTCATCGAACTCTAAAGTTAATGAACCACTAGACACGTCAATTTTTGTTTTTGCGGTCTTCATGAAGGGTCTACCCAAAAGGATGGGTGTTGTTTGATCATCAGTTCCCATTTCAAGGACATAGAAGTCAACAGGGAAAACCAAATTTTCTACTTCCACTAGCACATCTTCTACTACACCCTTCGGGTAAGTATTAGACCAATCTGCTAGTTGAATCACTACACCAGTTTGATGTAGTGGGCCGAGTTGTAGGGATTTATATAAGGAATAAGGAATGACATTTATTGATGCTCCTAAATCCAACAAGGCCTTAGAAAATAAGGTATCCCCTATTTTGCAAGGAATAGTGAACATGCCTGGGTTGCTACATTTCTTAGGGAGTTTCTTTTGAAAAATGGCTGAGACACGTTCACTAACTTCAACCTTTTGTTTCCCTTCCAGTTTATTTTTCTTTTTCATTGTGCATAGTTCCTTTAAGAACTTTGCATAACGGGGAACACTTTTGATCAGTTTGAAGAGTGGGATGTTTACCTCAGAATCGGCGAAGGTCTCGTAGATGTCCCGATCATTCTTCAGCTTCCTCGTGTCTTTCAATGCTTCAGGGAATGGAGGGAGTGGTTCATATGATGACAGTGGAGGGAATTTAGTTTTCGTTGGCTCCTCTTCGTCCGGTTGAAAACCTTCTCCAAGATCAACCTCTTGCTTCTCCTCCTCAACTTCCCGTGTTTGCAATTCTTTACCGCTCCTCAACATGATTGCATTGACATGTTGTCTTGGGTTTTGCTCAGTTTGGGAAGGGAGCCTACCCGAATCTTTTGCTTCAAGTCGACTTACGGCACTCGAAATTTGGCTAACTTGAGTTTCCAAATTTTGAATGCTCGACTTGGTTTCATGTTGGAATTGCATCATGGTTTGTTGGAATTGCCCCATGCTTTGCTGCATTGTTCCCATATTAACGACCAGTGCTCGAATCATGTCTTCGGCGGACATACTCGAGTTCAATGTTTGGCCTTGTTGTTTATATTGTTGAGGAGGAGGGTTTGTTTGTTGCTGAGAATTTCGTACCTTAAATTCGGATGATCTCTCCATCCCGGGTTGTAAGTATTGCCTCGAGGATCGTGCCTCCTTTGACCTTGGAACCCCAAAGCATTGACTTGCTTGGAGTTTTCTTCTTGTAGCGTTGGGCAGGAATCAGTGGGATGCCCCTATGTTGAACATATGCCGCATACCTTGGCTTCTTGGGTTTTCGGATTTAAGAGAAAATATTTTACCAAAGAAGTCAAGCCGGCCACTTGACTTTCTAACGAATTGTTGGATTCCGCTGCCATGACTCGTTTTGATGATGACCTCCCGTTGTAATGTCTCGAGTTTTCGTCCAACTCCGAAATGAGGTCTCTTGCTTGAGAAGGGGTTTTGTTAACAATACCCCCTCCGCATGCCGCATTTACCATGCGTCTATCTTGATCAATAAGACCATCATAGAAGTAGAGGATGAGGTCTTGTTCCGAATACCCATGATATGGGCAACTAGCACATAATTTTTTAAAGCGCTCCCAATATTCGTACAAGGTCTCATTATGTGCTTGCTCAATGTTGTTGATTTGCTTCTTGAGACTTGAAGAGATAGATGCGGGATAGTACCTGTCAAGGAAGCTCTTTTTCATTTGAGCCCATGTATTGATGCTCCCTGAGGGGAGATAAAATAGCCAATCTTTGGCGGTATCTTTGAGGGAGAATGGGAAGGCCCTCAGCTTGATTTGCTCCTCGGACACGCCATTGTGGCACATGCTTGTGCACACAATATGGAACTCTGACAAGTGTTTGTTCGGATCTTCCCCTCGTAGACCATGGAAAGAGGGAAGTAGATGAATGAGCCCAGATTTTAGCTCGAATGCGACCCCCGTATCAAGAGTTGGAAAAGTGATACATAAGGTGTTAAAACCTTCAGTTTTCTTGCCAGTTTCAAGAGTACACCTAGTGAATAAATCCATGAATCTGCCAAAGGGAAATGACATAGTATAAACAATCAAATGACTTCATTAAATGCCCTGTGTGCAGGTTGTAAAGTGTAAACATATTGTATAAGAAGTGGTTGGATATTTACTTTCCCAGGGGTTTTCACAGGTGCACAAAAAATGGAATGTGGTATAAGGGTGAAATGGTGGGTAGTTACATTTTTTAACATGTTTCAATATATTTCAGAAGTCATGTAATATACAGATATAGTTGTATCATTTGTGTGATGGTAAACATCTAAGCATGCAAAGGAACTGAAAGCACCACACCTCAGAGCACAGGGAGCAGAACACTACCAGTAAAATGATGAGGTAATTACACATGTGAAATTACATCATTTATAAAGGAAATCAGGAATAATGTTAAAAGTATACATCCCATGGTTTTAAGGTACCTTCTGTTTTTCTACATTCTGCCTTGATACTTTCTTATTGCAGCTGAAAAACTACGCCTACCATTAAGAGGTTGAAGAAATGAAGAACATGATTTACCAAAATTATGTTGCCCATCTGAGAAGGTAAG